TCTGTCTCCTTCCAGGGCTCATTAATGGAGTTTTAACAAAATAAATAGCTGGGTAGGTTTTTGAAAAGGCTCATCTGACCAGTATTTTGGCCACCTCACAATATGCCCAGGTCTTTGAATGCTTTGACCAGGCTATTTACAAATCAAACTAGCTCCTAGTTATGGCCAATGGGAAACTTAAAAGGAAAATGTGGAAATATGGATGAGGATGCTTAATGACCAGTATTTGTAGCAGCCCTGTATTGTCCAATTAACCAGATGACACTTAACTTGTATTCATACTAAGAAGATTTTGCTATTTGGACTTTAGAATTCAAGACAAGGACCAGTATGCTTTTTCTGAAAGCACTAAGTTAGTAAGTATTTTAGGCTTTGTGGGTTATGCTGTCTCTATCATAATTATTCCATTCTGCCTATGTCTCTCAAAAGTAGCCACAGATGATCCATAAATAGATGGCTATGACTGTGTTTTAATAAAACTTTATTTATAAAAATAGGAGGCTGGTCAGCTTTGGCCCCTGCAGGATATAGTTTGACAAGCCCTGATTTATACTTTATGATATTATACAGCATACCCTTTTAGGTAAATTTTCGTTCTTTTACAAATGAGTTTTTTAAGCTTATTTTTTTTTCTCTCTCCCTCAATATATGTGTATATGTGAGAGTATATGTGTCTGTGTATAAAAGTATGTGCAAAAATAGAGATACCTTTTGGGCTTGTTACAAGGCCTCCTATAATTTTTATATTATTATTATAAAAAAATCTGGTTATTATTTTCATTTATGTATTTTTCCAATTCATAATTTGAAGTATGGAAACAAAAATCTAAACAATGTCACTGACAAGTTCTGATTATTATCTGTAAAATAACAAAAGTACTTTATATCCTCTACCTTATACAAATTACATCATTTCTGTTTTTCATAAGTGGCTCAGTTATCATTTCCAGAAAGATTTTAGAGAATTGTTTGAAAGTATTTTGTGTACATGTGCCTACTGAGTCTGCTTAAAGCTGTTCATAAAATTTTAGACTTTTATTAATTGAGGACCTTTTATCTGCAAGTTGGTAAGTGCACCTGAAGAGACTTAAAATCAAACTTTCACGGAATCTGAATGGACCATAAATGAGGTGAATCATTATGTAGGATAAAAAAAGTTATGTCTTTTTTATAAAGTTCATTCCAGCTGAATTTTAATAATTAAATATAAAGAAGAGATGAAGAAAATAATATAAGGATTTCTTTATTATTTAAGATGCTAAAGGAGATTTTAAATTACACATTAAGTAGGATTATTAACAGGTGCTAAGAATGATATATTTAATTATAAATGTAAACATTGATTACAATGTTAATAAAATAAAATTAAAAGAAATAAACACTTGTAACTATTAAAACAAAATGTTAATTTTTTAACATGTTATCAAATGATAAGCATTAGAAAAATAAATCCAAAAAATATATCATATTTTCTTATCAAATTAACATTTTATTTTATTTATTATTTACTTGTTTGTTTAATTTTTTTTGAGACAGAGTCTCACTATATTACTCCTAGTAGAGTACCATGGCATCACAACTTACAGCAATCCCAAACTTCTGGGCTTATGTGATTCTCTTGCCTCAGCCTGCCAAGTAGCTGGGACTACAGGCTCCTGCCACAATGCCTGGCTATTTTTTTGTTATAGTTGTCATCATTGGTATTTGGCAGACCCTGGGTTGAACCCACCAGCCCCTGTGTATGTGGCTGGTGCCCTAGCTACTGAGCTACAGGCACTGAGCCTCAAATTAACATTTTAAATTAAATAAAAATGACTAGTACATGTGGATTGAGAAGGGAGCCTCCTTACCCTCTTCTGTAAGATATAAATAAGAACGTCCATTTTAGCCAACAACTTGGTAACAAAGTCATAAAAATATTTACAATTATTAACTTCTTACAAGGGATCTATCCTAATGAGGTGCTAAGATTTATAGACAAGATATTGACTCAGTATTGTTTATAATAATGAACATTTTAAAACAGTGTAGCAACCTTAAATAGGTTTGAAAGAAACAAATCAGGGTATAATCCTATGATAACACATAAGCATGAAAATCACATTTTTGAATGATAGTAGTTAATGGTTGAGACCAGTGATCAAAGTATATTAATGAATAAGAATATATAACTGCAATTCACTATAATTGTAACTCTAATGTGCATATTCATAGATACATAAAAATATTAAAAATTTTGGCATAGTAGGATTATAGATTCTTTTTCTTTTTTAATTTTTGTGTGTTCTCTAAGTTTTCTACGATGTATGTAAATATTTCAACATACGTACATTTCTTTTCCTCCATAACAATAAATAATAAACTAGTTGGTATTTCCTCACACTTTCAAAACATGATCTGAGATAAAAATAAATAATGAATAAAAATATCTTGAGAGTTAGAGAAATGAATTTGTTTTAACTGGACAAAAGTCTTGATCCTGGTTTTGATAATTTGATTTTCCATATCAATTGAATTATTTGCTCTTATTAATAAGTTTTTATAGCTATAGCCCACACAAATTAAACCCTATGGAGAATGGTTTATAAACCATCTTCTTATTGGTTTCCAGAGAATGTCAACACATTTCATAAATAATGATACTTGCTGAAACTCGTATCTAAGACTTGAAAAGCATCCAAGAGTTAGACCATATAAAAGATTATTCTCTGGTGTTCAAGTAAAATAAATCCTAGGATTTGCAGTGCTATTGTATTATACAGAAAAATAGCAGGGGAAAATCTAAGTGCTAGTTCCTTGGCAGGTAATATCTGATGTGCCCATAGAAGATGGGAACCAGGACAGAACCGCTCTGGGTTGTATATGATGGTTAAACAGGTTTAATCTCTTTCTTAAAAGGAGCTTCTCTGATCGGGTGAGTCTTTTTTCTGTCTGCAGAATAAGCACCTTAAATCCCTTTGATGTGGGCCTAAGAAAACCAACAAGGCACAGTATTGTTTCAGATGATTCTACAATCTTGGCATCTTTTGTTTTTGGTCTTTTTACTGAATTTTTTAAAATCAAAGGAGCACTTTTATACAGTACTAAAATGAAATAGTACTCCCAAGATAAAAAGTATCTCTACATTATCAATGTTTGATCTCTAGGGGTAGGCACCTTTAATTTTCTTTTTTAACTGATTTTTTGATTAAAATCATAACTGTATACTTTATGGGATACAATGTGATGATTTGACATACAATGTGGAATGCTTAAATCAAGCTGATTTACATGGCCATCACTTCCCTTATTTTTTTGTGGTAAGACATTTAAAATTTATTCTTAGTTATTTTGAAAAATATCCTTGCACTCTGCACATTAGGTGAGATCCCACCAAATACCCTCCTTTCTCCCACCAATCTCCCTCCCTCTTTCTCCTCCCCTCTCCTTCCTCAGCCTTTCCCCTTGCTAAACTATATTTGTCTTTTATCATTCCTGAGTGTGCATCTATATACTGGTTTCATAATGGTATTGAGTACATTAGACACTTTTATTTCCATTCTTGAGATACCTTACTAAGAAGAGTGGTTCCAACTGGATCCAGGTACACATGAAAGATGTAATGTCTCCAACTTTTAAATGCTGAATAGTATTCCATGTTATACACACTACAATTTGTTAATCCATTCATGGATTTGTGGGTTGCTTGCATGACCTGACAATTATGAATTGAGCTGCAGTGAACATTCTGGTGACAACGTCTTTGTGGTAAAATGGTTTTTGTTATTCTGGGTAGATAACTAGTAATGGGATTTCAGGATTAAATGGAAAGTCAACTATGGCCCAGAATGAAGGAGAGTGGGATGGGAGGGGAAAGCAGAGGCCAGATGGATGGAGGGTGAATGGTGGGATCACACCTATGGTGCATATTGCAAGGGTACATGTCGGATCTATTAAATATAGAGTATAAATGTCTTATCACAATAATCAAGTGAATGTTCTTTATCTCTAGAAATGTTTCTTTACTTAAAGTCTACTTGATCTGATCTCAGTATGGTTATGCTAGCTTCCTCTTGGGTGATATTTGCATATGGTATTCCACTCAACTACTTTCAATTTTGGTGTCATCTAATCATCAATTTACCACGAATACACTGATAATATATTTTTACTTTAATTTTAGGGCAGTGTATATCCATGTTAATAAGCACATTTCTTATTGAATATAGAACAAAATATAATCCTAGCTTTCTTTTAATTCTTAAATATAAACTGGAAATAAAAATATAGGAATACTGGACATTCCAAAGCAATATTTACAGATAGTTGTTATGATTTTTTTTAATTTGTTTTGAGACAGGATTTCTCCTATTGTTGCCCAGGCTGGTCTCAACCTTCTGGGCTCAGTGATCGTCTCATCTCAGCCTTCCGCAGAGCTGGGATTGCAGGAACATGCTCCTGGTCTGGGGTTTTCATAATATTTGTGCTGCCAATATTAATGTTGAGTCTACGGCCCCGATGTGGTGTTTCCTGTATGCCAGGCATGTGTATTACTGTATACTGCAATATATAAGGGAAATAGACTATTACCTGTTTTTACAGATGAAAAAATTGAGAATCAAAATGTGAATCAAAATCTTGCTCAAAATTATATAGCTAATATATCAAGACCTGGGAGTGTAAACTCAAGTATGTTTTATAATATTTTTAAAGTAATGCTTTTTTTTTTCATGGAAAATGCTTTCTTCCTTTCCTAACATTGTCCAGAAAAGTCTTCAATAATCTGGAATTCAGAGTGAGCTTTTCCCAGACATTGAGACACGCAGCCTATATTAGTCTTGGCCAGTGTTACTTTCACTAGCTGTCGTACACAGTTCTGCAACAGGCCTACATGGTATATTTTTTTCTCCCCTACTATTACTGCATGCGGCTGACTTCTAGGATATTTGCCATTTTAATAATGATGAACGAAAGCACGGGGAACTGAAATTTATTACAAGTAAAAGCTTTTCTTCTAACAGATGGAAGGAGAGAAGGACCATCAGGTGCGTCTGGCGATTGGAAATGGTATACGGAGTGATGTATGGAGACAGTTTATAGACCGATTTGGAAATATTAAGATGTGCGAACTTTATGGAGCTACTGAAGGAAACATTTGTTTCATGAACCACACTGGGAAAATTGGAGCAGTTGGGAGAACAAATTTCTTTTACAGAGTAAGTACAGTATTTTCTTTATGAAAAAAAAAATACATTGAGGTCTTCTTTGTGCTTGTAAATTATGGTAATCATTATCACATTATCACCTTTTTTTTAATGTTGAGAACTTCTATAAAGTAGCAGCTCTAGGTGAGCAGTGGTGCTATGGATTATGAAAAACTCAATCATCTTCCTCTATATTACAGGGATAATGATGTCTAGTGTTTTGTTCAATTTTTAAATGTGAACATGTATTGTATTAATAGCACGTGTAAGTCCTGGTATGTATTAATTTCACTCTTTCTAACTTCCTTGAGGAGTTGAAATTTCATTATTTCTACTTATTATTATCATTCGTAACACTGAAATGTTCTGTATAGGTTTTAAATATATATATATAAACATATATTTTAATATATATAAACATAAATATATCTTTAAACAATATCAAGATAACACTAACATCCTAAAAGTTGCCAAAGAAACCACCATTTTAGGGATAAAAAAATTGGTAGCTGGTTACTCCATATAACCACAGAAGACAAAAGACTGTGGATAAATACCCCCAAATGGCTTGGAGAAATAGCTGTTAAACTAGAATTTATACCCAACAATAGTATGTTTTAAAGAATAAAGGTGAACATAAAGAAAAAGTCACAAAATTTATAAAGGAAATTTGATATAACCTCAACAGTAAATGAATCTTCAATAATGCAGAATATTTGAATAATAAACTACTAATCAGTGTATAAAGGCCCCCGAATCTAACAACTTCAGAATATCCACTCTTTCAAACACTTATGAAACATTGTACAAAAATTACTGGGCCACTGAGGGAATTCCAACAAATTTCAAAGGACTGAATATACAGGGTAGCCACAAAGTTCATGGGCAATAGTTACTATTTTAAATTGCACATGAACTCTATGGACGCCCTGTACATAAATTATGTTCTTTGACAACAATTTAATTGATACAGAAATACATTTTTTAAAAGACAACTGGGTAATCTCCTATGTACTTGGAAATAAAGCATTTTTAAATTGTCATGTGTTGAAGAAAAAATAATACAATAACAAATAATAATAAATAGTAAATTAGGAGATATTATGAGCTGACCCATAATGAAAATGTCACATCTGAAAACTTGAGGAATCAGCTAAGAGCAGGTAAAAATTTGTTCGATGGACTTTAAATATCCACATCTGTACCTTAATTTTTTAAAAAACAGAAATAAACTGAAAAAAAAAAGGAATAAAGAGCAGACATTAATGAAATAGAACAGAAACACTTAGTGAGAAATGTCAAAAGAAATATAAATATAATATTTTTAAAAGTAAAGAAATGGATTCTGATCGATAGAACAAACAATATCAGGAATGGAACAGGGACATTGCTCTAGACATTAAGACGATAGAAAAAGATTTTACTTGAATTTTATTTAGTTGTTTTAGTTGTTTTTATGTTGTCAAATGAGTTCATAGTAATAAAGTTGGAATTATTAGAATAGGACCAATTTCTAGAACAATACAATTTATCAGTACTAACTCAAGAAGTATCATACTAAATGAAATAAACTTATGTCCAAAAATCTTCCCATAGTTCTAGACAGCTTCCCTGATAACTGTCCTGAAAATTCAAAGCGTGAGTTCCAATCTTACAAACTCTTTCAAGAGAATAGAAAAAGAGAGAAAACTTCCCAGCCCACTTTGGATTCCCACACTTGACATAACAGTGCAGGAACAGAAGTCAACAGATGGAGCCAGTCCCAGACAGACACGTCCGAGGCTCTTCTGTGAGTGTCAATCTCAGGTGTGTTTCCTCAGTGGCCTTGCCTGTGCCCTAGGACCAGCACTGTCCTGTGACATTGCTCTGCATGTTTCCAGAGCACTGTGCTCAAGCTGCTTTTAAATTTGCTTTTGAAAAGAGCTTTAAGAATTCCATGGTGTAAACTTTGGTGCATTTTATCACTTGCCTCTCTAGTTTCTTTAGTTTTATGCATTAATATTTCTGTATAATAAACGTCCCTGTACCAAAGAACTCCTGAAAGTAACAAAAGACCAGGATTTGGTTTTCTAGTCTGTGGTGATTTGTTTCAGTATCTAGAAGTAACCGACATACATCTGTTTTCATGCTGCAGTGGTTCACCTGTTTAGTCCAAGCTGGTGTAAGTCACACTAACGTTCTATCCTAAAGAAGTACAAATTGGTTTGTATAATGTGTGCTTTTAAGATGTTGACGGTCTAGTTGACATCTCAAAAATGCACTTGCATGCCAGACAAAGTGTTTTGGGGAAATAAGAACTGATAGTACTGAGTTGCTCATTCTTCGCAGTTAATTTTCTCAATGTCACTGTAATGACTCCTTTACAAATACGCTGTTCCTATTAAGCCCCCTTTGTGAAGCGGAGTCTTTTAAAAGTATCCACTGACAAGAGCACGTGAAGATGATTTGTATTTTGTCTTGCTGACATGACTTCATTGTAATTTTCCTAAGGTTTTAAATTTCCTATCGGACTATAATGGTGTCATAATGTAAAAAGTCATGACTGTCTCCAATTTATTTGGAAAACTTGGCTTTGAATTCAGTTTCCCTTTTAAGTTTGTAAATGAAAAAGTCATACCTAATAACCAACATAATGTTTTCTAGTCTGTCTTTTATCATTTTATGTACATGCTGTTTTGTTAGATGGCGGGTAATCAGAAAAATGTTCTCCACTAATTGTCTCATGCTACATAGAACTAAATGGGGGAGATTTGGTAAGGGTGCCTCTCAGAAATGTGAGCCTGATGGAGGCTCAGGCCTTATTCGCTGACAGGCAGATCCGCCTCCAAACAAAGAATGTTACAAGTGAAGGAGAAAAATAAGGCAGCAACGCAGAGTTCCTCTAGCCCGAGTGTCCTCCCTGTACGTCATATTTACTATGTAAATGCATAAAACTGAAAAGATAGCGTCCCATATATACATGTCCCCTGAAGCAAACCATATAAAACTCTTGGTGACACTGTATTTCAGAGACAAACCCAAGTCAAATTATTAACTCCTTCCTCTTTTTCCATAGTATTTTCACTGGGGAAAATAAATATGAAGGGACAAATATGAAATCCATAGGTGAAATAAAGCTTGAAAAAAGTAATAAATGAATCTAAATAAGAGGCAGCTGGAAAAAATTTGAATGCACATCAAGATAATAAGTCCTCCAAAATCTCCATAAAATGTTTAGAAAAGCAGGTTCCTGGCTCACGCCTGTAATCCTAGCACTCTGGGAGGCCAACAGATTGCTTGAGTTCAGGAGTTCAAGTCCAACCTGAGAAAGAGCAAGACCGCCGTCTCTCCTAAAAATAGAAAAACTAACTGGGCATCATGGTGAATGCCTGTTGTTCCAGCTACTTGGGAGGCTGAGGCAGGAAGATTGCTCGAGCTCAAGAGTTTGAGGTTTCCGTGAGCTGTGATGAAGTCATGGCACTCTACGCAGAGCGACAGAGTGAGGCTTTGTCTCAAAAAAAGAGAGAGTGAGAGAGAGAGAGAGACAAGTTCCTGCAGGCTCAAAAAATTGCAGTATTATTCTCTTTAAAAATAAAAGCTCAAAGGAAAGGAAAGATCGAGGAAAACATAAATCAACAAAAGGAATTGAAAAGTAAGTTGCTCAGATCAAAGGAAAAAGAGAAGAACTTATGAAAATATTATAGAGATGAGCACCACATTTAAGGACTTAAAAATTAGCAAGGCTGTAGGCACTGTCAGGGAACAAGCCTAGTAGGATTAAGGAGTCACATAAAACAAAACAAACAAAAAAGAAAGTGATAATTAAAAATCAGGAAGAAGGATTTTGAAATCATGGATGATAATCTGACCTGTGCTTACTTTGTGTTCCTGCAGAAGAGAACAGACCAAAACAAAAGCTAATTGTTTTAACTCTGATAGAATAAAACCTCCTTAGACTTGAACTTTTAACAAGAGAGTGCATTCCGTTCCTGGGGGAAAAAATATATATGGTACAAAATGATCGTTAGAAAAATATATCCCAGTGAAATCAGTGAACAAAAATTAAAGAATTGGAGGGGAGATGCCAAGGCAGAAAAAGCGAAGTCTGTACAAAATGTGACATGGCTGAAGACGGCAAACGCTGCTGGCATTTCTCAAAATCAAAACAAAATGCTCAAGGCCAGAAAAAAATGAAAGAAATGTTTTCGCTTAATAATTTTAGTTCTGGCTAAATTGCTTCTCAAGCATAAAGTATCAAAGAGGTTTTATCAAAATCTTCATAAATCAGAGAGTTTAATACCCACATATTTATAGGGGTATAATAACATTTATAAAATTCACTGAGCAACTCTGGCCAACTTGAATATAAAAGAGAATTTAGAGATGAAGGAATCACCTCAGGTAAAAGGTTGGTGGTGGTCCGGGCACAGAGGCTCGCGGCTATAACCCTGGCACTCTGGAGGGCGGGCAGGAGGAATGCTTGAGCTCAGGAGTTTGAGGTGGCAGTGAGCTATGATGATGCTAGTGCATGTTAGCTGGGGATGCTGGTGAACAATGAAACTATTTACATATGGAAGACTGACCAGCTCTGAATCATATTTACACAGGAATGGAAATACAGATCCCAACCATGGGAAAATAACTATAACACTAAGGGAAACGGGAGTTAGGTAGGAGGAGAGGGAGACATGTGAGTGCTCATCCTTCTATCCTTCGTAGTGGTAAACCCATGGGTACAAGGTAAAGGCAAAATATAACGTTAATGAAAAGGCTCATTTTCCTAAAAATGTTTTATTGGCTTAAAGGTGGGCATCTTTTAGGGGCAAGGAAAGTTAGCCGACTGTGAAGTAAAGGAATAGTCTCACAAGTATACCCTCACTTCTGGCGTCAGTTGCAATCTGGGGAGTCGTGAAGCTCACCCTTGGGTTTGGCAATCTGCTAGAAGAACTCACAAGAGTCACTGGCAGATGTTATCTTTATGATTACAGCTTTTCATAGCTAAAAACCACAGATTAAAATCAGCTCCCGGGTGACACACACAGGCAGAATTCAGGAGGGAGTTAAGGGCAAAGCTTCCAGTTATCCTTTCCTGGGGAGTCAGAACTAGAACTTCTGCTCTCCTAGAATTGATGTGTGACAAAAATGCATGGAGTATTTGCCAACTAGGGAAGCACACCTGAGCCTCGGTGTCCATTATCTATTTTGGGACTTGAACACGTAAGTCTGCTTGACTGCCCACGTAGCTGACCTCCATTCCTGCCTTTCAGGAAGTCAAGCTGGGTGATCCAATGCCCCAACTCTGCATAACATTGTAGCTGAGGCTCAGAGACGCTTTCTAAATTATGTTGTTATTATCTGCTTAGTCCAAGGCCCCAAGATAAACAAGTAACACTTCTATACAAAATAACAGTCTAAAGGCTTATTGGTTCCTTCCCAGAAGGCCTGTTTATAGCAAGGTTGAATTCTTTACTACAAGGGGACGGATATTTCAGTTTAAGCCTATCTCTGCTAGAACTTTGTGACTTTGATTTTGTGACTTTGACAAGTTACTTTCCTCTGGGTTCAACGTCTCCTTAGGTATTGAGTAAATAAATTTTGTGATTCTTTCCCAACTCATAAATTTAACAGATTCATGCATAGGGGCATAAGGGTTTATATGTACAGAAACTTCCAATGTGTTCCGCCACATAGGTGGGGATCGCACTGCTCTGGGGCAGCTATTTATCTGAACTGTTATGATACAGCCCCCTGTAGTTGTGCATTGGGTAGGTGCACACACACATCCACGTGAATGTTTAGGGATTTTTAAGGTGTGAAATCTATTTTTTTTATTTGTGTTACTATAATGCAGCCATTTCTGTAATCTCATAGGGAACCCATGAAAGTAGGAAGAGGAATACAGATACTTCTGGCTGAGTTCTAATGCTCTGATCCAGACTACTTCTAGAAGATGCTGTGATTCATTATTTTCATTTTAATTATAAAAGTGTCCCATTTTTAACCCTCAAGTCCCCTATATCTGATACTATATATACCGAACAGTAATTCAGTGTGGAATGAATCTCCCCCATGCACATGAAAAAACAGGAAAGCTGATATCACAAGTTACTGAGCCAATTTTCTATAAAATAAAACATGTTGGAATAGGAGAGAAAAGAATGGGTAATGAACAGGGTTCTGTTATTTGGCCAAGATAATAGGGGCAGTTCCTGAACTTCTGTAACCTTTCTTTCTGTTAGCCAGCAGGCAAGTGGCCAATACTCTGTTATCCCAACTATACACAAAGACAGACCAACACAGCGTAAGCTTTAGGTCTAGAGTAACAATGCATTTGCTTTGCTGCCTCCTTCATTGGCACTAATATTAAAATAGGAAAATACTAATTTCTACCTCGCAGAGTTGTATTGATGATTAAATCAAATATAGCTCTTAAGCTCTTAGCACAGTGTCTGGCGTGTACAGTGACTGTTCAGTAGATATTAGTTGCTCTCGTTTATATTTTAATTCAACTAATGAATTGTGATTTTAGTTTCATGCCTATTTTACTAACATTAAAAACCTTAAATGTTTATGTTTGATCTTTGATAATAATAATACTATTCTATTTATCTCACTAATTTCCATCTCTTCCCACTTACTTGTTCTGGATTTGTTCATTTCTCTCTCTCTCTCTTTTTCCCTCCCTCTCCTTTTGGTCCTTTCTTGTTATTTCTGTCACTTCATTTTACTACCTTCACGTTAGTTTGCTATTTCCTCGTTTAACTCTGTGGTCAGTAAAATCTCAGTTTTCTTATAGAAAAAACGAACTAAACTTAACCTGCAATTTTTTTCCCACAGTCAAAATTTAGTGGCTGTATGAATCTGCGTGACGTGGTAATGTGGACCCTATGGGGCAGGGTGGTTGGAGATATCTGGGGTCGGGGAAAGGCACCCAACTAGCCAATGCAATGAGGATGTTCTGACAAATTTATCATCTTATACCACAACTGTGCAGGGAAGTACTGAATGTTAGTTTAGGGTGAAAGCCCCAGGGATAAAGGCCAACGTAGCAATGAGTAACTGCACTGTTTAAGCATTTGGTCACTTTTCTAGTGACCAAGGAAAAAATGAATAAGGCCTTTACATCTGCATAGATTACATTTAGTTCTATTAAAACTTTCTATTTCAAGGGTGATGGCAAAAATGGTCCTCTTACCTGTAGTTAGTAGAACAAGTAACTGAACACCTGGATTGTTTCTGTCTTCCAACTCAGGCACTCGTGTTTAAAATCACGTTGCAGTGTTTTGCTAAGGTAAAGTGCAACACAGCAGAAATGAAAGTAAATGCCAGTAAATGGTGCTGTTCCCTCAGACTTTCAGTTTTGGTTTTCAAATATTGGTTTAATTTTTCATCAACATCTGTTACTTGTTTCGGTAAATCCATATTTTAATTATTTATTTCAACGGCGCGTAAAATCTACAACCAGTAGATGTCATTACACAAATATCTAAATGCTTAATTTTGTTTTTTCAGCTTTTTTTCAAATTTGAATTGATAAAGTATGATTTTCAGAAAGATGAACCCATGAGAAATGAACAGAATTGGTGCAGTTGTGTGAAAAAAGGTAAGACTTGTGTTTAAAGATGACGTTTTGGAACTTCTATAGAGAGTTGTCCCTCTGTATCTTTAGGATGACTGATCCCAGGACCCTCAGTGGATATCAAAATCTGCAGATGGTCAAGGTTCTTTTATAAAATGTCATAGAATTTGCATCTAATCTAGACACATCCTCCCACATACTTCAAGCAGATTTTATAATATCTAATTAATGTCAATAGTTTTATCTAATTAATGTAAATACTGTATTTTAAATTGGTATTTTTTTGTTATTATATCATTATTTTTTTTTTTCCTGAAAAAGAATTCCAAAGGTTGGTTGAATCCATGGATGCAGAACCATGGATACAGAGGGCTGACTGTAATATTGAATTGAGAAAGGACAAATGACTAGGTATACTACATAATTTGCCTTTTTTGAATTTTAATGCAAGAGGAAGGTTTAATTGTTCAACACAAAGAGCACCAAATGGGTCACTGAGATGGTAACTTTTAAATCACTGTTTAGCTCATATTTTTCTTGATCTGTCACTTCTAGTTCATAACAGTGGCATACGACTGATGTCCTTGTCACCAAACTATAACATAAAATGTAATGAATTAATTTATCATTCTGGATGAATTAGAAAGTCTGGCTAACTTGAATTTAAACTAGGCTCTGACACTTTGAAACTGACCACCTTTGGGCAGGTTAGTCAAGCTGAGTCTCATTTCTTCCTGTGTAAAGAAGAGGTGACAGAATTCATTTGGTGAGGTAACTGTTGACAAGTAAATGAAATGTATATAATTCCTGGGGAGAGTTTGACAGGTGACTTGTTCCCTTCTTGCCCTCTGTTCTGCCTCTCCTCCCCCTCCTCTGCCAAGGGAGATTGTCTTACAATTTTAGGTTAGAAATGTCAGTGAAAGCAAGTGCCTCAGTTACCTTGCTGCTACACACAATCAAACTAGAGATTACAACGTAGAGATGTGCGCTGAGCCATCCAGCCTCAGTAAATCCAGCCAAGATTACTATTTATTGCCTCTGGACAGGTTTACACTTCAGAGATGATGTCTTAAATCTTTACTTCAAATGTGAAGATAACGTTTGCAAACTTGTTTTTGTTGTTGTTGTTGTTTTTTCTGGTAGCTGAATGATTGAAAAAAAAAATAAGTTTTATCTATCCAAAATCCAAATCTCTGTATTTTAAGCCCTATGGGCATTTGGCAAGTATGTTTCTCATATTCAATTCCATAAATACTGTCCAAGTAAAAAGTGATTTCTGAAGAGCTTACAAAGAACTCAAACTCACTTTTCTAGTGTTTTATTTATGACAGTGACAATAATATCTGATATTGGAACTTGAATCTCAGAACCGTGCTTATGCAAACTCGGAATTTCTTACATAGCCAGGTGACCCCAAATATCTGCTTTACTGTTTTGGAATTCTCATTATGAGCTACTCAGTATTATTTTTTCTACAAAGGTATTGTGTCTTTACAGCGTAAATTATTCCTAGATGGAAAGCATGTGAACACACTACAACCTATTTAAATATTTGCAATAATTAATTAGAGAAGAAATTGCCACTATGTGTTGAAGAAGAAAAACAAAGACCATAAATTTTGAGAATGATGTTAGAGTCTTAATAATCCTGACACAAAGGGGACCCAGACTGGCAGGACATACGATAGAGATGAGCCTTTGGCATCAAATGGACTTGGTTAAAAAAAAAAACAAAAACAAAAACAAAAAACTTCAATGCTTACATTTGCCAGCTGTTGGACATTGGGCAAATGACTTCTTTTTATTTGCCTCAATTTCTTCACTTGTAATGTGAAGATTGATCAGAGCCAGTCTAGCAGGCTTATGATGACGATGAGATGGAATACATGTGTAAAGCTTGCAGAATAGTGAGGGTGCCCAGACAGTGCTCAGTAGGTTTAACGGTGGTGACCCTGATGCTGCTGCTGATAGGACAGTGTTGGCGATTACAGTGACTGTGAGGATGAGGATGATCTGGCCTCTGCGGGAGCATAGCTTGTTTTGGTCAATAGTTTCTGTGCCCATGGAAGCCAGAATGATCAGAAGGAAAATAAATAAAGAATACTAAAAATACAAATTGCTTTGAATCTTCCTGGCATCCAACTCCATCTAACTAGCCACAAGGTTATCCCATCTCTTTATAGCTGGCAAAGCAGATAGATTATGGCCTTAAAGACTTCTGGACGATGGCTGTTGCTCTTCCTCTCTTTTTACCTTATCTTAGGAGTAGCTTTCACTTTGCAAATTGCTGGGGGAAATTTGGTCAATTTGAATAAGTTTGATTTGAAAATTATTTCAGGTAATGTGTCCAAATATAAGTGAAAGTAATAGGTGTCAATGAATCTCACTTCTTTCCCATCAAAGATTTCCAAAATAGCATCCCAGAGAAATAAACCATTTTCTTAAATTTCTAGTAATACATTAACTGGATCAGAGAAAGCGTTGTACAGAAACCTTGCCTCAAAATCATAGAGATGTAATTTGAGTTCTGTGTTTCATCCCACTGGTCCTTCCTTCTGGAATAGGGATTCTAATATCAGTTTCAAAAAAACTTCAATGGGGTTGGCGTCTTACTCCTTTGAGCCACAGGTGCTGCCCCCATATGCTGGAGGTGGTGGGTTTAAACCCAGCCCTGGCCAAAACCTGCAAAAAAAAAAAAAAAAAAAGAAAACTTCAATGAAGAATAAGCAAGGTGACGGTTGGAAAGGGCTCGTGTAAGTGTCCGGTAAACATCGCTATCCTCATTTTATTATAATAAAATTCTTATTATGGTTGTTATGTATATGGATGTCAATGTTATTTGTGTTATTATCTGCATAATCCAAAACAGAAGTAGCCATTGGTCTATCTACCCAGGAAATAAGAAACATTTAGTACATCTTTTCTTTCCATTGGATTCCCTTTTGGTTTTTCTGAATAGTTTGTATTTGTGGTAGTCTCTTAAAGGAGGCACTAAGTGTGCGTGATGTCCAATCTAGAAATATGTTCAGAGGAAAGTGAGATGACCAGTATTAGTCATGTTAGCCAGATAGAATTCAGGTACACGCATGGTGCACGCAACAGTAATTCTAAGAAGATAACTGCAGGTACGCGCTTCTCTCTTGCAGGAGAACCTGGGCTTCTCATTTCCCGAGTGAATGCAAGAAGTCCCTTTTTTGGTTATGCCGGGCCTTACAAGCACACACACAAAAAATTGCTTTTTGATGTTTTTAAGAAGGGAGATGTTTACTTTAACACAGGAGACCTGATGGTCCAAGATCAGGATTTCCTTTATTTTTGGGACCGTATCGGAGATACTTTCAGGTATGAAACATCCTGGGATGCACAGCTTGCCATGTAACTGTGAAACATGCCTCTGTAGAAACATCAGAGACCACATGCTCTTTTGCTTTCCAGGCAAACAGAATCCGTTTATGTCCATAATGTTTTCCCATTTAGAAATTTATTGGCCATCTGTTTCTAGATTGAACTATAAGTTAAATGTTGATGCAAATTTTTTATAATTACTTTAATGAGTCTGTTGAGTTCAAATCTGTGTTCTCCTTTGTAAGCATATCAAACTGGCAGGCAGATGTGAGGTCTAAATGACAGGGTTAAGACAGAGAACCAATTCAGCCAAATATGACCTAATTTTTGACCTAATGATAAATAGTTGAAACAGCAAAATTCTCCTTTCTTACTTTTTTTTTTTTTAATAATTCTCTAAGATTATCTCAGGCCTATGAAATTATTTTTCTTTACTAGCCAATGACTAGTAAAGCATTCAACAATTACTTGATTGAATACATTATTTTGTACATCCTTACCTTCTTGTACTAGACTATAATCTCACTTTATATAAAGTTCTGTTAATTGAAATAAAATATTTCTATACCTTTGAGGAGCCAAAGGGGTGACTACCTAGAAATTAAAGTGCATGAGCACACTGAAAGACAAATATATCTTTACTTTCAATTTTTGACATCCCCGTCATCAGAGACAGGGAAGGATTTTCACTTATTTGTTATTCTACAAAACAAGCATTTTTGTAATTAGAATCCTCATCATCATTTTATTTTCATCTGCATTATAAAATATTTTAGAGTAAGAAATTTATACTGATGAGATATCCAGAAATTTTAGCTGGAAAACACATGCTGATTTTATGGAATTACCAACAAAGTGTGTCCTTAGAAATACCTTCCGTTTTGAAATTAGTATTGGTCACTCGCTAGATGCTTAAAAGAACAAAATGTAAGGCATTAAAACTAAAACTGGATGCCTGGTTCTTCGAATACAGGTGCACTAACTGGAATTTGTTTTTCATTTAGATGGAAAGGGGAGAACGTTGCAACCACAGAGGTTGCTGAAGTTATTGGAATGTTGGATTTTATACAGGAAGCGAATGTCTATGGTGTGGCTGTGTCAGGTATGAATATATTTCAGATTTCGGAAGGATGCTGGGGATGGAATGTAATATTGTTTAGTTTTACAGCAATCTTACTCACTCAACATTTTGTTTTTTATGTATTAAGATAAGCAACTTAGTTTTGTCTTGGCAGATAATGCCCTTGTCCAAGCTAATCAACTTCAAGGTCATATCGGGGGAAGGGGTTATGTGAACCTTAAAGCTCCTGTGTATTTTTAAGCCGACCTTGAAAGCTGGTCAGTGACTCACTTGTTAAAAATTGTTACAGCTTTTAAATAATCTATTATTTTTCTCTTAAGGGTTTGTACAAACCACTAAATAGGAAGGTGTTCTGCCTTAAATGTTTAGTAATACTGACTTGTACTTAAAGTTGGTCTTTAAATAATCATGTAAAAATGTTTTCTCATTATCTTTATAAATATGCAAATGGGGATCATCTCATGTTACTGAAAATGGAACAGAAAAGTGACTAATTTGAAGTCACAGGACAGCCATTCTCTATTTTTTCCAGCTGATGCTTGTAGGAGCAGGGGACACGAGGGGTGGGAGTGCTTGGGTAGGAGAGCAGAGGAAGAGAATAATTATTTAATGCTAGAGAAAGGCTCCAGAATGTTCTGTACCCTTGTAAAGATCTGTAGGTGTTAAGCATTACATTATGAAAAACTAGTTTCTGGTTTCTTAACTTAAAAACGTGCCCTTTTTTACATTAATGTATAAGATGTACATTTCTACATTTGTGTTTAGACTAATGTGTTCTTAATATTTGTGTTACTGGTGTTAGGTTGCAAATTATGGGTAATTTATAGCGTTTTCCATTCCATCTGTTTTATTTCTGCAGTGTAGACAATTAGGAGTAGACCCTGGTCCTACCTATTTTTAAATGTTTTCTAGAAAGTAAATCATACGCTCAGGGAAGGACACAGACTCATTTGGGCTTCTGTTACCTTGTTATCACCGGCACAGTTTTAATTTCTCTATTTATCACAATTACTAGGTAAGTAACAGAATTAATTTTTGAAAATGAATCTAGTACTTGTAAAATGAATTCTATTTCAAACTTTTTTTTTTTCAGGTTATGAAGGAAAAGCAGGGATGGCTTCTATTATTTTAAAACCAAATAAATCTTTAGATTTGAAAGCATTTTATGAACAAGTTGTAGCATCTCTACCGGCTTACGCCTGCCCAAGATTCTTAAGAATTCAGGTAATTTTACTGTTTGAATTTACTATCAAATTTAAGACCAGGAGGTGGTGTAACTTCAAAATGATATTGTTTCCTTTAGATATATGCATTTTATTTGTGTTAGGACAAATTTCAGGAGTCATGAGGGGCAGGAGGATGCAGAGCTGAGGCTGACCGATGCCATATTTGCTGCCTAATTTTAGAGGGAACACGATGAAACGCTAGGACATGTTTATCTTGGTCATGATTCTAAAATGGTTCAGTTTCTCTTCAGGACCTCAGAGAAAAATGTCCTAGAGAGAGTAGCAAGCCAAAACTCTGTCTTACACACACCTTGTGAAGACATTTGGTGCGTAGGAGCCTAGAATTAGATTTAATAAGGAACCATCAAGAAGTCTGCAGGATGTGTGCAGAAACTAAAGGCAACTGGCGTTAAGCAACTTTGTTTTTAATTTTATTATCATTCTGTCCAAATCTCCCTCACCCAGACCTTGTATTTTGGGGAATTCTGAGTTTCTTTATGTTTGAATGAGGGCTCATCCTTGTTAGGTTGTTAGTATAAAGTATAGTGAAGAGAAAACAAATTTTCTCCACTACTGTGCAACTTCACTCATTCACTCAACCATTCATCATCCCTTAATATCCAATCACATAGACTTTTACTGAATATACTTGACATGTCACTATCAGATGCTAATGGGGCCATAGACTGTGTCATATTCAGTTTTGAAGCATTGCCCAAGCATTCCTCATAGCCAAGTCACTATCTGTCCAGGGAGACACATCATCTGAACTATCATAAATACATATTTCATTTGCTTTTTTTTTAACTTTTAAGTTTTTACAAATATCATCCCAGATTATTTTTGTTAAAAAACCTCTGTGATACTAAAGATAAGTAAATATGAAGCAGAAGTAATCTATTTTAACTGAGATTTGTACTGAAAGTGTTGTAGATTCACAGGCAGCTGTAAGTAATACTATAGACAGATCCTGTGTGTCCTCTAACCAGGTGTCCCCAAGGACAAAATTTTGCGAATTTATCACAATGAGGATATTAACATAATTTCTCAACTTATTAAAATTTCTTCTGTTCTACTTGCACTCATTTTTGTGTGTTTTTCATATACTTTATTACCTGTGTGGTTTCATGCACCCCTGACCATAGTAAGGATACAAATGATTCCAACCCTACAAGGATCCCTCACGTAGAGCTCACTCTTGTCCCACCTGACCCTACCCCAAAGTAATATATTTGACCCATAGAAAGCTGATACAGCAAGTAATATTTAAAGTATTTTCCCTTTATGGCAATTTAAAATTCACTTTCATCAAGCTGAAGAAATATTTTTGCATAGGACTATTCTAGAAGACTTGTTAGCCTTGAACAAATTTAGAAAATACTTTCAAATCATTCAACTCCTTCCTTCATTAAATCATTAAACATGGGCCATCACTATTATGTTTATTACAGTATTTCCTATAGGTAGTACAAAGTCTGACCCTTAGGGATGTAGACACAGGTGGTATTACATCTTTAGAAAACGATTTGGTAATATATGATCAGACCGTTAAGAATTTACATACATTTTGCCTTACTGATTGATTTCAACAGAAATTTATCCTCAGAAAGCAATCAAAGATACGTGAACGTTAATATGAAGATATCCTTCAAAGTATCACTTATACCAGTCAAAGTTTTGATATTCTTTATCAAGTCTAAGAATGAGGGCAAGGGTACTTAAAATAAAACTAAGTTAGACTGTGAAGCTGTTTTTTAAAGTGCTATTTTGAAGAAAATCATAGGACCTAGAAAAATATACTTTGTATAATATTAAGTTTAAAAAAAAAGCAAAACATCAAATTGTATAAATATAATGAGCATCTAATTTTTTTAAAAAGGAGAATAAGAATATGTATGCCTTCACAGCCACATCTAATTCTGGGTTGGGCCACCAGGGTATGGTGAGGGAAGGAAGATTAGGGAAAGGGGGTCGAAAAGAAGTGAACTTGAATTTCAGAAGGATGAATGAACACAGCTCGGTTTCTCAGAATTTTATGTGGGTCCATACATGTCATCCCATTTAAACTGGTTGTTTTCCCATCTGAAACTCCCACAAAGAAATACACTATCTCTTTTAAACACCTCAAAGCAGATTCTTGAAATTTCTAGATTCGTGACACTTTTAGTGTTTCAGTAATTTTTTTCATGGTACTCTTGGTTCAAAACAAATACATAAACCTTCATTTATTTACTAGTTGAAGCAAATTAATAAATATTTAGATTTAATAAATTAGTAAAAAATAATATGTATAAATCAAAAGGAAAAAATATTTCATTTTCAAATGACCACATTCATTTACAAGGAAGGTATAAACTGGGCATGGCACAATCCTTCCCTAGCTTAATCCCATGTTCCATGATGATTTTTGGCTGTACTTGCTTTTTCTTACAACAACCACCCCAAACTCCATTTTGTAAAGAGATGGCATCATTAAAAGGAAGGTATACTAAGCTCCCTTGAAACTAGGAATTACCTTGAGCTGGTAATTTGTGAGTGGTGACCAACAGGTGTAAGTGGGTTTCCCTTGAAAAAACTTAATATATCCTATGAGACTCCTGGCAACTCACTGAGGTATCCCAAGTTTGGGGACCCAAGTTCCAGAGTATTCTGGACCCCCTGTGGTTCTTATAGTGTTCTAACTTGCACAATAGATTTGTGTATACTTGTAGGAATTGCTGTCTTTCATGGGTTCTTACTGTCTCCTAGCATTCTCATAATTACATAATATTGAATTGGTATTGAATTGAGGAGATAGCCTATGCGTTTTAGACCTACTTAGAATCAGATTATTGATATATTCATAATTTTTACCTATTGAATGAGTTAATAGCTAAGTAAAGTTTAAAATTACATCAAGCTACAGATTTAAATATGCTATAAGGCATTTTTTATTTTGCATGTTATTAGTTGTAACTATAGAGAAGATGATTAGATATAAAATGTTATAGTTAAATATTATATTCCGTGGTGTTAAATATTTTAATTGCATGTAACAGCTCTTATAGATAATATTAAATGCTTCCACTCATCCTGGTCATTGTTTTATAGGAAAAAATGGAAATGACAGGGACATTTAAACTACAGAAGTATCAACTGGTAGAAGATGGATTTAATCCACTGAAGATTTCTGATCCGCTGTACCTCTTGGATAATGTGGGAAAGTCTTACGTTCCATTGACCAAGGAACTTTATGATCAAATAATGTTAGGAGAGATTAAACTTTAAGTTTTGTATGTATGGGATTTTCAGATGCTTTCCTAGGAAGAGTGAAAGGAGAATATGTTATTTTTCTTTTTTTTTTAAAGTTTTTGGCCAGGGCTGGGTTTGAACCCACCACCTCTGGCATATGGGGCATGCGCCCTACTCCTTTGAGCCACAGGCGCTGCCCAGGAATATGCTATTTTTCGTTATGAAATGAGGAAAGGCAACTAACATGAATTAAGCATCTCCTATATTTCTTTAACATGCAAGAGAATTTCTTGATTTGAATAAAACTTTAATTTGTTTTAATTGACATAAATGCTAATTGATTATTACTTTTACCCATTTGGGGATTCTGTGCATGACTATTTGCCTTAGTGTTAAGGATTTTAAATAATGAGTAAGTGGCTAAGAGACAATCAGTAAAAAATGCATTTCCTAATATGTGACATTTCTAGTTTTGAATAAATGGTTAACTTTTACTGAAATATTATTTTTATGTGTTACATCTTATAACTCAATAAAATAATCTTCCTTCATACATGGATTGAGTTTTCGTTCTGATGCTTCTTGCTGTAAACTTCCAAAGGAACTGACTCAGTGCATGCCCCTCATAGCTCCTCTATTTTAAATTCACACTAAGATGGCAGAAGAAATTTAAGAACGTGAAAACAATAGAGCAGGAAAATTGGTAAGCTCAAAGCATTTAGGAATTTGCGGGAGAGATATACATGGGGTCAAATTGGTGATACAAACCAATAGAGCTGCTGAAACTGCTGGTACCACAGGGAAATAATAGATTAGACCAGCACCCTGGAGTGATGTTATCAGGAAGATCAAAGTCAGAAAGGGCTGTGAATTTGAACAGTTTGTGAGTGGTTAGCTGGGAAATTTATGAGGAGGAAGTGTAATGAGCACAAGTGTATTTATCTCAAGTTGGAAACAGCAGGCTCCAGTGTTTCCTTGGAGGTAGAAACACACAAAAGACTCTTTTAATAAGGTGAAGTATCTTTGTGGGAGGGCGTTATGAAGCTGAAGGGAGAAGGGGATGGGAGCCCAGTAAGAAGCTCCTGTGTCCATGAAACCAGCTCACCTACCACCGGAAGGAAAGGTTCTCCTTGCTTTCTGTTGTCTCTCACGCTAAAGAGCTTACTTAGGTTGGAGCAGAAGTGTAGGGAATTTATCTTTAATATAGTTGGGAAATCACATGCTATAAAGTTAAAACATCCCTTAAATGTGAAGTCAGGCTCATGGCCTGTAATCCCAGCTCTGTGAGAGGCTGAGGCAGAAGAAGTGCCTGAGCCCCAGAGTTAAAGATCAGGGCAAGGAAGTGAGACCCCTGTCTCTACAAAGAAATTTTTAAAAATTAGCTGAGTGTTGGGGTATGCCCTGTAGTCCAGCTACTCCGGAGGCTGCGGCGGGAGGATCAGGAGAGCCTGGGGATGCATGGATACGTGAGGTGTGACTATGACACTGCACTCCAGCCTGTGGGACAAGCACGACTCCTCCCCCAGCACACTCCTCCCCTCTTCCAGCTGCCTCCCCAGAGTGCCCCGCAGGAGCAGCCACTTGGTGCCACCCGGCAGAGCCTGCCCAGAGGTGCAGAGTGGCCTACTGTCTGGGCCCAGCAGCAGTAGCTCAAGACTCCCTTTGCTGACCCTGACCCCTCTTACCTGCCAGCTGACCAAGCAGCTGCCACAGCCCCTGGAGTGGAGCTCAGTGGCTCTGTGGCTGGCTTGGTGGCACCAGACCCAGAGGCCTTCCCGGATAAGCATTTAGAATGTAAGGATTACAGCTCCCAGCATGGGGCAGCACACTCCTTGACAGTGAGAGCCATATGTCTGGACTGCATCTCAGCTTCACAGACGACCTGGGCATCAAAGCGTGTGTGAGAGAGTTGTGGACACGCACATGCAGCCAGGCCACCGTGAAGATGACCTCAGAGTTCAACAAGCTCATAGCTGATCTCTGGATGGGTGCTTGGGTTTCTTTGACAACCACCATGTGCAGTCTCCTCGTGACAAGGGGAGGCCTCTGCCAGCCCTGCCTCTGCCAGGCTGCCTGCACACCTGCTGCTAAGCTTCTTCAATGAGCAGGACTCTCTGCCCTTTGGTCTGTGCCCACAGGTGGCCAGTATCACCCTCCACCCTGAGCACATGCTCTCTGGGTCCTCATGGCTCACTTTTCTCTCCAAACAACGAGGCTGAGGAAGCTGTGGGTCCTGAGAAGGGGCAGCTCCATAGTCCTGCTCTCACACGATGTTTTGTCTTTGACACTAAACAAATATTTTGTTTGAGGTTTTGGCGGTGTTGATTGTTTGTGTTAAACTGCTTGGAAGCGGTAGTTTGGTGAGCTGTGGTTTTCATGCCCTGTCCCTGCCCTCACCACTTTGAGTAGGGTGTTTCATTCTTCTACAGCTTATGTAGAGTGTAAGTGGCCCAGGTAGGAGAGTGGAGGCACCTGTCCAGGAGCCACACAGGACCCTTATGTCTAATGTTTGGCTTCAGGTAAGCTTTGAGTTAATAGAAATAATCCAATGGACACAGCACTCAGTTGTAGGTAACATTCCCTGTCCATCTCTGTTCATATGAAAAGCTTGGTTCTTTTTCTACTCTCAAACATTGTTATTCAGACAAAGCATTGACATTATGGTAAGAAAGAAAAAAAAGAAAATATACATATATCCTAAAACAGGTAAATCTAAGCCTGTGAGATAAAGGAGTATCTGTGTTAAGTTGCACAAAACCAAACTCCATCATGGGCAAAGTGAAGCCCTTCGACGGTGACCTTTTGGGTGACCCGTGCGTATCTGTTCACTGTGTGTACACCCTGGGCCCTGTTTTCTGGTGCAGATTCTCTGAGTGGGAGTCATTCTGCTAACATGAACCACACATCTGGAGGACAGATGGCCCTCCAAGGTAATTTATTGTGTGCATTTACTGTTTACTGAACAAATGTCTCGTGTACTCAGGTGTATCTGGCAGCAATTTCATGGCAGTTCCCTGTGTTTGCCAGAGATACTGTGCTCAAAATACAGGTTTTTCCCAATTCATCACTGCAATTTTCACATTGCTCCATTAGCACTGGGAGGCCTGGGTTCTGCTCCCTGTGAATGGGAATGTGCTCCGAACCTGTCTGCCTTCCTCGGCTGCCCCAGCCCTCAGTCACCGCTCTCAGCAGTGTCCACAATCCTTTGGGTCAGAAGGCAAAGACAGAATTTCAGACAGAAGTCAGCTGGGATCTTCAGTTCACAGCTTGGACTGGCTGTGGCCCAGAGGTTAGTTCTGTCCAGAATTGCTGAGAGGAGGCTCTGGCAGACACCACAGATACTGCAGGGCCTACCTCCCAATACCTGAATCCAACGAGTACAAGCAAGCCTGTTTGTGGCCAGAGTTGGCTGAAGTTTTTAAAATCCCAAATAACTCACTGAAGTGTCTGTAAGACAAGTGTTACCCAAATGAATCCTCTTGGTTAACTGAGCAAATGGGTGAATTCTGACCCTCTCAACTTTTTTTCCCCAGTTAGAGTGGGGAGCTGTTCCAAGTGCTGTCAATTCACTGTAGCATTACACCCTAAAGGTACAAGAAGACAAACACCCCCTCCCCTTACCCAGACCTGCAAAGCTGGGCGGGACTCCCAAGTCACAGTGTGGCCCCTGCTCAGAGATAGTCAAGAATTTGGTGCTATAGCTGGAAAAGTTGCAAACACTCACACGTTCCTGCGTGGGACACATTGCCATTTGTCAGTTATTGTAAATACATGTGTGTTAAGCAGTAAGATTCAGCTAGTCAGACTCCTCAGTGACACATTTCCTATGTTGTGATTGTTTTGAAGACAGAGTGGCTCTAACTAACCACTGGGAAGAGCCCAAACCGTCCAGGGATGGCAGATCATGCCTATAACCCCACCACTTACAGAGGCGGGGGTGGGGAATCACTGGAACCCAGGAGCTTGGTATCAGCCTGGCAAGTAGCAAGGGTCTGACTTAAAAAAAAAAAAGGCACAAATACAAATTGATCCCCCGAAAATAAAAACAAACAAACAAAAACCCGTTGGAGATTGGATGACAATAGTGAATTAAGCATGCATGCATCATTCCCTTACCCCTACTGCGTCTGCTAAATCCACTGCAACAGAAAATAAAATGTTATAGATAGTACAATCCATATAAAAATGAGGGATGGGCAGGGGGGAAAATTGTGACATGAGTGGATGAAACACTGTGAGAAATTAGTGGAAAATAGAAAACAGATGACATGAAGTTATCAAAGAACCCACGGAGGAAGGAGAAACCAAAACATCAAGCATGCAGTTGAAAGTTACTTCAAAAGAAAAAGGAATTCTACCCACAGTAACACATAGAAAGATCCAGATGGGGAGTCTGTGTAATTGTCAGGATACCTAATTATAGTACATACAGACCATGAGTTTACTTGCCTTTTCCTATAGAAAACTTCCATCAACAGACAAAATAATTCATGACATAAAAGTAAAAACTGGAAAATAACACATCATACATTTAAAGGCTTCTTTAAGGCAAAAGAGAGTAAGGATTAAAGTTTCTAAAGAGCTAGAAACCAGAAGAAAATAACTAGAAACTAGGTAAAAATAGTTGCCACATCTGTACTATATAAAGAACACTTACAAATAAAACAATGCAAAGGGAAAATAATTCGAATGGTAAAATTAGGAGAAAAGGGAAACAGTAGAAAATCTGGAACTAAACATGTGACAAGTGCTACAGAAGATATTTAATTTTATTGGTGAAGAAAATTAAAAATAATGACATCTGGTTCTTCCCATTAGGCAGTCATCATGCATGTTAATAATAGCTAAGTTTGGCTAGCCAGGATATGGAAAAATTTTAAATACTCAGTAATTCTATTGAGAACATGAATCATGATAGCTATTTTGGAAAATAACACAGCAGCATTTATTAAAATGTTAAATGTATATACCATTCATCATGGCATTCTGCCTTCAGACAACATGTAATACCTCTCATACATTATATACATGGGCAGAGAACATCT